TGACTCGTCCAAGATGGTCAGATGGAAAGGGGCCAAGAAGTGAGGCGGTCGGACAAGCATGAGGTGGTCGACGGTGCTGCGGTGAAGGAAATCCTTCAGTATTTTTTTTTTGTCAAAACAAAAAACCGAGGAAAAAATCGTCAAACTGGAACTGCTCAACTGGAGAGCTAACCTCAAAGCCACTGGACAACCCTGATGACAATTTCAGTCGATGACGTTGACAGTGTCAATGACAGTTCCAGCTGAAGGCGAAGCCATTACAGTGGTCGCTACTCGCAGACGAGCACGGTTTAAGAAAAGAACTATACACATTGCATCCTGCTGGAACAAGCACCAGTGGGCGCCCGCGACTTCATCTGTGGAAGACATCATGGACTTGCACATGAAGACATGCTGGTTCAAAGCATAGCGCATGCATACTTGAAAATTGCATCGGAACAAAAACAAAAACGAAGCCTTGGAATGCACACATACGTGGGAACATTCCATGCAACACCGCTGTTGTTTTCCGATCCAGTCGGATGCAGGATGTATCCCTGCGCACGACATCTGCTGCGGTACTTCTATTGTGTTGACAGAACTGTTTAAAGAGCGCCTTCGCCGAGGAAAGTATTTACGTTGACCCGTGGCAGTGATTCCTGCCTCTAGAACTGAAAGATTCGGTATGAGAAATGTGACTCTGTTTCTTGGGATCAGTGGCTATCAAAGCTAAAGTCCCGGTAATCTCACGGAATGTTTTGATTGCAGAGACGGGAATCACTGACACAGATCAGTATAAATTTTTCTCCGCTTTGACGTTTTGTCGACGCTCAGGCGCCCACCCATTCTGACCTGTAGGTGGTGAGTGAGATATTTCTGCTCACTTGACTGAGCAACGTGGTAACAGGTGTGAGAATCTGCTACCTTCGCTCCTGCATTGGTCGCTCTCATATGGGTGGAGTATTGTGCTCCTCTCGAGAGTTCTCTCCAATATTTTTATCCAGGGGCGCAGCCAAGACTTCCTTAAGCGGGGAGGGGAACGAAGCTTAACAATCACTCATAACAAAGAACCGGAGAGGTCTTCTTTGGAGCTAACCTGTGATGTAGGTATACGGGCGTAAGAGCGTCCCCTCTCCCCTCCAGTTGCGTCTGTCTGTCCCTCCGTGTCGTCCTAAGCGCCACTTTAACACCGAAACGGTAAGTAAATTTGTATCCTTCGTAAAGCCACGTTCTCAACCCCCCCGGACGCCCAGCGCTTTATGGCTTCCATCCCCAGTTCTGACGCTGGCCTGGCCACCTAACCTGTCGCCAAGCAGTGTAAGGGCACATCATCGGACACCGGTTCCTGCGTTCGGCAGCGTTGACCGGGTCACTGCACCGATGGCGCGGCGTTTTCCTTGCATTGTTTGTCGCAAGCGCGCCAAAAATTCCCCCGCGTGAGGGGCGACCTCCGTCGCCGGCCCATATCCGCCACTGGCGAGCACGCGCGGCGGCAGGGGCGCGCCCAGGATCAGAGCAAGGGGTAAAAAAACGGTGATGGGTTGCCGCCACGTAAAGGCCTGAGTTGCCAATAGTTGATGGCAATGGTTGATGTGGTTGATGGTTGATGGTTGTGGTGCGTCGGTGTCGGCTCCCGGCCATCTGTACTGGGTGCGCCCTGGACCGGATTCAGCGGAATCGTTGTCTTTTCGCCACTTTTGGCCTGCGTGCAGGTGACGCCTGCTGGTAGCCTACGTGGTCGTTCCACCCGCCGAAGACATGTTCGCAAACCTGAGCCTCGATCATGCCGCCAGCAACAAAGAAGAAATCAGGCTCGGATCTGATGCCGCTGTTTGTGTTTAGCGCTCTGACTACAAGCCATGCTATTAAGAGGTAATTTAGAGGCGGAATATTATGGAGGTCCTCTTAATTGAGCAGCATGCGCAAAGGAACTTTTGGTCTAACTAAATATTTTTTTGCATTCTGAGCCTCGTGCCCGGTCTTAAGATGTGGAAATTTTTGAGAGGACGCCTGCCCTTTCGAATTTACGGGCAATTACATCCGCAGACTCAACATGAAGTTTGTTTTAATAGATCGACCACTGCCATCACCTTTTGTTCCGATAACACCAACTTGGGCCACGCCGAAAGCAGAGGTTTCCTGCCACCGACTTTCCAGCCCTCATGGAGCTCTGCAATTTTCCAGCTTTCCGGCCTTCCAGCTTTCCTGCAGGGCAATTCAGCATACACCATTTCTGTGCGCACCTAGGTTTACCACGTGCAGTTTCGTATGTGATTTATGATATTATGTGTGAAGATCATCCCACATCTGTATAGGGTTTTTAAATGAGGTAGACATTCAACGAACATGCAGTGTAATTTGCAGCCACACCCTTCTTAAAGCTTCAAACCCTTTAGTTTCCGAGCTTGACGCATGCGGACATGCGCAGACTATTTCACATAGTCTATCTGGAGGTCAGCCAGACATGCATGACGTCATAGAGACGTCACACGAGTTCTACGACCACCATGGCTATGTAGTGCTCAAAGTCAGGAAGATACGATCTTCAAATTATTACTCGTGTCTGACGTAAGTCAGCACGATTTGTGGCATGAACGGATATCAGTCGGCCTGAAATCCATTCAATGCACTGAGTGCAAGTTTTGAACACGGATCCTAATTTATGCTACATAATGCAGGCATCTAGGCAGAAGTGTTGGTTTTGACGGAAATGAGACTGGAATTAGAATAATCTAGGAAAAGCGCCTTTACCGCTCATGTAAGTTCAGCTGAAGAATGTAAAATGACGTACAGGTATACAAGAACACCACGGGAAAGGGTCAAAACACGCTATACGGTTTTAGAACATAAAAAACACTAAAGGGTCAAACAACGATATACGGGCTCAGCAAACACGCACCCACAAAGCCCCCCCCCCCCCCCCCAACTCTCGGCGTGTTCAAGTTCTACAAGTGAATCAACCCGCCTTCAGCAAGAGTTATTATGATATGGTCTGTCTGGCAGCGATTCTGGTGACATAAAGGCGATCCATGATGGAGACAAGCGATGACGCAATGAGGAGATATCAATTAAGTAGTGAGATTGTGTTGTCTGGAGCAGTCTTTTGCACGTTCTTGCGAACCAGTAAATCACAAGTCAGCTTATTTCAAGATTTAGGACGCTTGCCCCATTATCTGCAAATGTGGACCATTCCCCTTAAGCGCTCTGCGTTCGGACTTACTAATCGGGAATGTGATTTGCCCTCCTCCTTGCCTGCCTTTCATTGATGAGTATCGTTGTAATCCCTCTCACCGACTCGTTCTGTCTTCTACGTCCGGCTTGGTCTATCTGAGCTCTATTTGTTCTCTTCATTGTTAATAGTTTCGAATGTTTGTTTAATTTTTGTAGTATTTTTCTAGTGTCCTTTAGCGTAGACACTTTCGTACAAGGCACGACACTATGGAACGTGTAGCATTTGTAGGATCTGTCCAGCGAAGGTTCGGTCAGAGAACGAACCGCCAGACTTCAATGATGCCTTTCTGTTCTTAGTGCTTGGGCTTTTCCCATTCAGGCATATCCAGCGACACCCCAACAACAAACCGATCCATTGGGTCATGTCCAGGTGCAGTACAGCCGTGGATCTGCGGATATTACGACCGATCGGCGCAAGGTTTGAAGTCAGCAGGTTGCGAAAGTCACCGCCCCTAAATTAGTAACGGTCTTCGGTAATAGCAGACCGCAGGACAGCCTCTGTCATGGACGACCCAGAGCCACCTGCTTTCGTCCAGTCTCTGACAGAGGGTGCGCCTTCGCGGCCCCTGCGTGGGCCGTCCTTAGGGCTGTGACGTCACAGTGGGAGGAGACTGGAGTGCGCCGCGCGCAAATGGGGCGCGGTATTACGCGAGGGAGGGGGCGCAGGCACTAAAGGGTTGTTTACGCACTATTCAAAATGGCCAATCCCGTTGCCGGCCTGCTGCGGGCGAGTTTTGCCCCGTTGTCGCCATTCTGCTGGAGCCTTATGGTGTGTTCGATCACCCGAGTGCAAACTGAGAAATGATTCGTCACACGCTGGCGTTGAGGTTGAGGCTTTTGCAGGACAGCAGGGAGCCTGCGCAATTGCAGGTGCAGTCAAGGCATTGAAGCTTGCGCGTTGGCCAGCATCACAAAATTCAGTTATGAACGGGTCATAATTTGCAAGTGTATGACGGCGATGACTTCGACCCGATGGCTAGCCTCGCTAAGACCACCACCAGCAGCGACCCACGCACGCCGGTGTCGCGGCGGCCGTGGGTCTGCACGAACGGTGCAGGGATGCAAAAAAGTCGACGACCCTGAATGTATATTGAAAATGGTGTTACTACGTGCCGGCGTACGACAGAACGCACCCGAGAGCTGCGTTCACTGTAGTGAACGGCGCAAAAGCACCACGAGGAAGAGATTCTAGAGCTCCTTGCGCGGGACGACCGAGCGTGGTCAGCCGATCGGGTCTTTCCTGCGTGGCTGTCTGGTCTGTCCCTCGTGGATCGGGCTCGTCGAGGCTCTCGGAATGCATGTCATGCAGAGACATTAGGGCATGCAACATGGCCAGGATGCTGTCTAAGAAATGGGGCATTCGGCGAGTGGTCCATTCAAGGCGGCATTCAGGTTACCATAAATAAATAATCGAACAAAAGCATGGCGCGCCGAACGCTGCCCATAAAGTTTGTTCGGCGTTCCCTTGTGTCTCAGTTTTCTCAAGATTTATAGAGCGAGCAGTTTGATTTTCAACTGACAAATTCCTCAGCTCATGAACTTATGCACCGTCCACAGACTTCCGTTCCCCTACGCTTAGTCTGACCGTAAATTGTATATACGCCTTGCAAGATGGGCTGTTTGCGCCATTGTAGGTTTATTTCAAGCTTTTGATCATATACCAACATGAAGCCATGTGATTCACGCGCTTCCCAAAGGTTCCAAAAGTTGTAGTAACATTACACCATCTGCTCCCTTATTTCCCCATCTGCTCTGACCCGCGACCTGACCTCTGACTTCTCTTGTTGCAGATGATGGGCACGGAGCAGTTCAGCCTCAAGTGGAACAACCACACTCACCATCTGGTGGACGTGTTTAAAAATCTACTGCGATCAGGTGAGGACTCTGGGATTCTCAGTCACTTCAACACCACTTTCAGACCATGGCCGACGTCTCACGGAAGATGGGGCCGATCGAGTCGACGTGGCCGAATCAACTTCTGAAACCAAAACCACTTTGGTTTTCGTTGTTGACCAATCAGCTTCTAGCTGGTTGCTGTTAAAGGTTGAAATGCTACACTCAGAACTAAGGGCTGTCCAGAGGGCTAGAGTAAGGGAAGGAAAATCAGCCGAGATTGCACGAGACGCTTCGCACTGCTCTCAAGGTCCGAGTCAGGCAGAGAGAAGAAGGTCCGAGTCAGGCAGAGAGAAGAAGGTCTGAGTCAGGTGATGGAAGGTTTGAATCAGGCCACGCCCATCGTCTTGCCACTTTAAGAAATCCTCAGTCTTAATGCTCGAAATAGACGCGCAGGAGTAATGAGATCGACAACATATGGTGTTGGTTTACACCATGCAAGAAATTGTGCGCTCCTGTGGCACGCTAAACTGGGTTTTCTGTGAAGCCTTTTGAGTTTTGACCTTTCATGGCCAAATTTTGTCCATGCCCCCAGCCCTCCCGACGGCAGAGCGGCCAGGATCTGCCTGTAGAATGTCAAGCCAGCCTGCAGACCAACCCAGGGTGACATGAGAACGCCGAGTAACGAACTTTCGCAATGCAAACTTTCCCCGAGGGGACTGGCTGACCTGTTGAAGTCCCCCCCCCCCCCCCCCACTCCGACTCCGCCGGCGTCTCTGATCCCCGAGGAGTCTGAGAGGGGAGTCTGCTGGCCTTTACCGCAGTCTGATGTCGGCCCACAGCAACTCCGCCCCGCCGTCCTGCCGCCTACCGCGGTGCCCGCCAGCCCCGGAGGCACGTGTGCGCGCTGAGACACAGGGCACGCGCAGACACGCGTGCACGCAGAGCGTGCTCGGTCCTCTCTGTTTCGCTGCCAAGACGGGAGGACTGAAAGCCCGGTGGCGCGCTCCGTTGTATGTTCGGCAGCCAGAGGCTGATGGCTGAGGCTGAACTATGGCTGTGGTTTTTTCAACTGTGGCTGGTGGCCACGACCAGCGCCATCGCTTGTGGATGCTTCGTGGTGGGTAACGCCAGTTTCTAGGTGTTTGCGCTGGTCATGGTTAGCTTGTTCGACAGCAAAAGTGTCTGTGTACTGTGTAGATGTCTGTGTACTGTATAGATGCCTGTGTACTTTGTAGATGTTCCACGCGGTCGGCTACTTTGACTCCCTTGTGCAGCTGCCCCTCTATTACCCGCGTTACAGGGCACCGTGCTCTATAGCGTTCAGTGCGGTACTTATTGTACGTCTTTCTGGAACCATTTTAGGATCGTCAGCATGCTGCAACGAATGCTGCGTGTGAAGCAGACAATTGTTATTGTCGAATCGGGAGCTCCCGTCACTCTCCTGTGCCCCTTGATTGTTTCAGTTTGACATGAAGCCATTGCAAGGACGTTACACAAGTAGGCCTCAGAATCCAAGAACGTTAACGGAGCGATCAAATATTTCCAGGAAAACGACGCTAGCGGCCATGTGATTTATACTCTCAGTTCGAGCACTCCGCTGGGAGTGCGTCATAGAGTGGTCGCCTTTTAACTTTTCAAAAAGCCGTTTCACCCTCAGACTGATTTACAAGGCCCGTTCCGCCCGCAGCGCAATGCTCCTTGAAATAGACGGCTCAGAGTCGCAAGCTTCATTTTGGATGATATGATCATGTGTGGTGGAAGCTGATGGGTAATAAATGCCGTATCTTCGAATTATAAATAAGCCATACTTACAAGAGCATGACCAGAGCACACCATGCCAAGAACAGGAGTATGATATTGTCACAGGCGTACGAATGTCAGGAGTAAGCGTGTTGTCACCCTCTTCTTCGTGTTTTGGCCGATTCCAAAACATGGGCTGGTTTGGGGCAGGTGTCCTGGAAAATATTTTAAATTTGCAAACATTTCCCAGGAAACCTGCTGCATGCTGGGCAATTAGGAGCCAACCTGTACCGCTGCATGTGGAACTGAGTCTTAATCTCAGTTTATTTCATAAGAATGCACATACTGGTTCGGTCGCTTCACTATTTTTTACCACAGGCCCTTTGGTCTACACTACTGCTTCCAAATGCCTGCGTGTCACTATTCTTTCAAGTTAGTTGTGCAGAGCGTGCCTGCTATTGGGAACATATGAGGGTAGGACGCAATGAACATGGCGACTACTGTTTGGCTGCTGCTGAGCTGCGGTTCATGTATTAAAGTTGAGTTGCTATCACTGCGTCGTGGTTGCACTTTCTGGTTTATATCCTTCTAAACTTCTCAATGTGGTTTTGTATTTCCAGCACAAATCTACGATGCATTTTAGAATCGACCGAATATTAGTTTTGTGAATATTTGGTCCCGAAAAACTGCAGGGAGCGCAGCATTGTCCATGCAGCCCTTTAAAATCCCTTGATTTTTTTTCCAGCCGCGCGTTGCGGGCCTTTCGGCTTGGAAAGCGACAGTCTAATCGTAGTGACATGACGGCAGCTGCAGAAGTACTTGACATCAATAACTGCTTACGCAAGACGCGCTCTGAAAGTTGTGTCATAAGCTGCAGCTGGAAGCTACACCATGGCGAGCACGCTCAGCACAGACTGCACCGGCCGAGAAGGGCTTGGGTGGAATGTAACGGGGCGGTGAAGTTTCAGAGCGTGAGGGAGCACATGCTCACCAATTCTCACCTTATCTCATCTCGCAGAACTTCCGAGGGCCGGCCGACTTGAACCCCTTTTCGTGGATCAAAGCCTAGAGTTGCAGCGCGTGGCTCCATCGTGACCCCGCAGAATATCTAGTGGGAGTCTAGTAGGAATCTAGTAAGAATCTATCTAGTATGTAGTACCTAATATGCGCAGAGTATCTAGTCTAGTGTGCTTACCGCTTGAGGCTCGGATTCTGAGGACACCCAAGCTTACCTCTCCTCAGAAGATGCGGAATTGCTGGTACGCGCGATACAGGGGCACCGTCAGGATTTCCTCACATAGGGAGGGGAGACCTCAGTGAGAACGTATCACGTAGATTACCGTTCTGTCCAGAGCTACCTATGGTTAAAAAATAGAAAAGAATACAGGCCTAAGGGGAGAGGCCCCCCGCCCTGCCCGGGGCGCGTGACGTCCTCACGTAAGTCTGAGGTGGCACAAGCATTTGCCTGGCAAGAGAGACCCTTTCTTGCAGAGGGTGGGTCTGAGGGCACGCAAGCGAACCTCTCGCATGCCCCGCAGGGTCTCAGGTGGACCTAACCACTCTCCCGCGAAGATCAAAGTGGAAATGAACCTCTTCCTGATTCGGGCGTTTTCTGGTCTACGCGACCAACGCGGCCACGTGACCACAGTTGACCAATGGTGTGGTTTCCCATCTCTTTAAGAATGCTGTGGCACCCACGACGCTGGAATTGACCCGAATAGCATGATTTGCGCACCCAAAACATAGAATGTGAGGAATGAGCGCCATGAGCTAAAATATGTTCGGTACAGTCGCTTCTCATTTGTTTTTCTTCTGCGGCTTGGCGGTGAGCGAATGCAGATAAAGTCTGCAGAATCAAAGATGTACCGATGCAGCCTCCTTCTCCCGTCACCATCCAGCACACGAAAATCAAGCAGAGACCATAGGTTTGCACGGCCGGGACCCCACCAAGCTACACAGTAATGGAGTGAGTGGATCGACAATTTAAAAATTCGGGCCACCGGGCCAAAGAGCGTGCTCAAGGATTTTAAGATATGCGTGTGTTTGGGTAGCCACAACCCTTAAAAAGATTGTACCTATGAACATCAGCCTCTCCAACGAGGGCCCAAGCTCAAAGCTGACCTCTTCGTGCTTTCCAGAATCTCTGGTGGACGTGACCCTCTCGTGCGAGGGTCAGAGTCTGAAGGCGCACAAGCTTGTGCGTGCTGCTGCTCCTCGCCTACTTTGAAACACTCTTTCAAGACCACACAGAGACCCACCCTATTGTGATACTGAAGGGTAAGTACCGAGCCTGAGTCACTGTTTGCCCAGCGGCCGGCGGCCGCGTGGAGGACGTGTGTCACGCGCCGATAGTGTCGGCGGCGCCTGCCCGCTGTGTCGTGGACCCGATACCGGAGCCACCAGCCGAACTCAGCCGCTGCTAGCTGGGAACGCTGCTGCTCTCCGACATTTCAGCTTATCAGCGTTGAGCCTATGGCGTTGGATGGCAAGAATGAACGCGCGACTCTCCTCTATATCTGCAGCGTTTGTATTGGCGTATTTATCTGTTGAGTTTTGCGCGTGTCCTGAGCTTAAGTATTGACTTTTTGATTTGTTGAGTTTTACGCGTGTCCTGAGCTCAAGTATTGACTTTTTGATTTGTTGAGTTTTGCGCGTGCCCTGAGCTCGAGCGCATCCTCCGAGTCTCATGAGCCTGGCCTGGCAGGTGATTGGTTGTGTATCGGGCAGCTCAACACTTAATGCACTCGCAGCCGTAAAGGGTGAGCTGCATTAATCGAAAATACAGTGCGGATTGTACTCGGCAAGCTGGTGAGCCAGGGAAACTAAACGTCTTTCGACCGTGCATCTATTGAATAAGTAAACTGAAACGCTTTTACACGTGCTACGTTAAATGCGTATTGAAACGTTGAGCCGTGATTTGCCTCACGACATCGACTGGGACTAACGTGAGCCTTTGGCCCTCGCCCTGTTTAAGCGGGCCCGAAACTCAGCCCCCCCCCCCCCCCCGGCGGTAGAACTGAAATGAAGTCAGACCGAAAGCGGGCACTGAGCGTGGCGGATGCGTGCGCCTAGCCTGTACCTTACGTTTGTGTCTCCGGGCATTTTTGACTATTCTGTCGGCCTTGTTCATACCTTCAGGACGTTGAGCCACCAGTGAAGAGTTACTTAAGACTAAAGACGTTCTGTTACTTAAGTCGTTTTGGCACAGAGCGCTCGTCGAATACAACATGCCTATTTACGCTCATGAACTATAAAGTGGACGGACGCCATTGTCGCGGGGTCGGTACGGCCAGGGGATAGCTCCCCCAACTTCAGAAAAAAGCACCAACACTGCCAACGCCTCCTGATTGAGTTGATTGGTGCAGCTGTAACAAGCGCAGCGACAAAAACCCTGCTTGTGTACCCGCTTGTTATAAATCTTTCGAGCTTTGTTAACAGGGGGTTTCCAAATCTCCGTGAGGGACCCTTAAAGCTGCTATCGAGGCGGGCAGCTGAGTCTTTCGCGGGACGGATCACTTCGAGCAATTGTGGATTACTCTTGGATTTTGTTGTGCTGAAAAGGAAAGGGAAAAGCAGGTGGCAGTGTGAAAAGGATTTAGATATTTTCACACTCAGACATATTGGAATAGATAAAGAACAAAATGTGAACTGAAAAACTATATGTTCTTATGCATGCTACATGTAGCATTTCGTGTTGGCATCAGCTCGTATGTAATGATACGATGTGCTTAAGATGGGAAATCTGTTGACCGTACTGGGTTACCTTCAGGTCAATGTGATGTTTTTTTTTAGCTGACTGGGTTTGTGGGGCAAGGTCCAAATTGGGGATCAAATTTCTTCGCATCCTGCAACTGTTCTTAACACTGAGCTCCCTGACCCCGGGCCCGTTTTTTCGCAGATGTCAAGTTCACCGAACTCAGGAGCATCATCGAGTTCATGTACAAGGGCGAGGTCGAGGTCGAGAAGAATGATCTGGACTCGCTCTTCTCGACCGCCGAGGGCCTGATGATCAGAGGTGAGCAGGTCGGATGTCAGAGGTGGCACAACCTACCTACCAGGGAGTACCTACAAAGGGTACCAACCTACAAGCCTTGGGACCTGCTGAAGGAGTCATTCTGGGATAATTCAGAACGTTTCTCTGTGTAGTTATGCTGTTTGGATAGTAAATGAAAATTAAAAACTTAAGTTGAATGCCGTATTTGCTCATTCTAAAAACTGTGTAGCAGCCTCGAAATGCTCCACTTATCAAGTGATACCATTCTTTTTAGAAAAGTTTTTCTTTACGCTGCAACCATCATGCAAATTTTCTGCCTTAGCACGGGCCTATTGGGCGGCGTGCACCGCCTGATAGTGCTTACCCCATGCCAACATTCCTGTCTATAGCCTAACAGCCGAAGACGCATCCCAAAAGTGCCAACATTCCAGGCATTCGGATTCACTGTCCCTGGAAAAACCAATTGGCTGCAACGTTTTGCTTTTTTGGAGGAGAGATAAAATAAGAACACATTTCTGGTAGCCTCAGTTGCTCAACGTTGGGGAAAGCTTAGTCCTGAAATGGAGTTGAGGTACCCAACCGTTCACTGTTAAACGCGTCTTAAACTGCAATTTCGTGTCGAATTGAGAGTGACATTGTCACTGGCGTGGGTGGCAGGTAGGCCGGTACACGTGTAGCAAAGGTCAAACCACCGTTCACTGAAATTGGTATGAATGTAACATTTTAGCGTTGCGAGACGACTATTTCCGCGGTGCCGCTATACCAACGGACCTCTACGGTCTTCAGCCACGGTTACCAATGCAGTCTGTAAGCGACAGCTATCCATATCGCGTGCAAAAACAGGTAAAATTGCACTGCATGCCGCTTTCCACAGTTGCAATATTTCATGGATTATCTGTATCATAATGTTGCTCGTTATTTTGGCGTCGAGCAGACCAGCACACGCGCATGCATGCAACATATATGCAGCACGCATACAACGCCAACAGATGGGCCAGCCAAATGCTGCGGCGTCTTATCTGGCAAGTATCTTCTCTAGGACACAACCTTTTAGTCGGTTGGGCAGCTCCTTGCGAAAATGTTTCAACTGAACGAGTTAAGATACGAATGTGACTTTGAATGTCTCATTTCTAAAATGTTCAACATCTGGCAGCGCATGCTGCCAGACTGACACAAAGTCCGTTAAAGGTCACGTCGCTTACTTCTGGTGACCTTCGTCTGGTGACCTTCGCTCGGTCACACGCAGTCTTTACAAGTCTTCTCGTGGTGGACCCACCAGCAGATGTGATATTCCCGAGGGAAGCAGGGCCTTCCCGAGCCTGCAGTCTTGTTCGCTGTTCAGGTGGAGCTGGCGCCGAGCTAATATAAACTCACTGGGAGCTGGCAGGGCCCAACTTCTGAATTAAATAGCGCGGAGTGGTACCAATTCTGATATTTGATTGTTTCATTGCTTGCTGGTTGAAACGCTCCGGAGTACACCTCGGCGCAATCCATAGCTGACACTTCGCGGTCGAGGATGATGCGTTGACCCTTATCTTGAAGACAACGAATGCGCGCAACTTCCCAATCCTAAGCCCACTGTCAAATGCGCGCACTGTGTGCCGAGAATGGGGCCCAGCGATACTCTGTTGCCGGTTTACTGCTAACCGCATGTCTAATCCGAGTTCACCAACAAATAGCAAATGGTCCCCACTTTTCATTCACAATTTGTAGTCCCAGGAGTTTGACCTTCACCCCACTCCCTGACCTGCAAGCCACAAGTTACCCATTCGTTCTAGCCCACGCACCACCCCGCACCAGACAGAAAGCTTTCCAGAAACTGCAATACCCCCCCCCCCCCCCAGCTCGTCGCCCGCGGAGCCCTCTGCGACCTCCATGTGCCCCCGTGGACCTCCATGTTTCCCTCAGTCTCCGCGTGCCCCGCTGACCTCGGTGTTCCCCGCTGACCTCGGTGTTCCTCCGCTGACCTCCGTGTGCCCGCAGGGCTGACCGGGTCACGACCCGCCATGGGCGGCATCACGCCGCGCCAGCCGGCGCCCCCGGACGACCCCGTCCACCGAAAACGCCCAAAACCAGAGCCGTTCGAGGGGGGGCGCTGAGGGCGGCGGCGAGCGGGCGCCGCCCCCTGCTGACGGCGCCCCCACCGCCCAGGCGCCCTTCAGCAACGGCGACGACAGTTCTGTGGTCAGTTCGGCTGCCGTGGCTGCGCTCTGGGGGGCGGGGCTGACTTAGACTGGGGGCGGGGCGGAGCGACTTAGACTGGCGAATGTGGGCTCTGGTTAGGCTTTTTCGAACGCGTTGGAACGCGAGTAGCTGAGCGGTTTCGAACACGTTTCGGACGCCCAGCGAAAAGGAGGAAAAACTGTGGATAAAGTCAAAAGCGCTCCTAGACATGGACGTTTCCTCGTGCGAGTAAAGGTGAAGAATCATCACCCCCTTCGCTGTTGTGTTTTATCCTTCATTTTAGACCGAACATAGCTAATTGAGCCCAAGTTTACACTATAACACTCAGTTGCAAGCTGTCAGCCGACGTTGAGCGTTGTCACCAGAGGTCCAAATGTTGCAGAGATGCCTAGCAAAGGATTCATTAAGAAAATACAGTGGCGTTCTTTAGTATATTTGGTGTATTTTGAACTAAGTCTAGTCGTAAATCAACGTGTAATGAGCTGTCCTGTTGATTTGTTACATGATGTTTGGTAAGCAAACAGTCTGTGAAATGTGAATCAACCAATATGCTGTTAGCGAGATCTCATGGGATAACTCCCGTCATGGCCCGTGAAGGTCGATGCGGTGCGCGTGCGTAACCTGCTGTCTACTGCTACCCCTGACCCTAACACCATGCACCCAACCTGTGTCGGACCCGAGGTCATAACATTGACCCAACCTGACCTGAGGCCATCCCGCAGATAAAGCGGCCCAAGCTGGAGCCTGAGTCGGGCGAGGAGAACTCCACAGACGGCATCGAGTCGGTGAGTGTTACGATTCGATCGGTGACCATCCGAACCGATCTCTGCCTGATTGGCTCGATCTGAGCGACTCAATGGTACACTTTCTCAGAGACGCGGCCGCTCGATCTGAACAGTGCAATGACTCCACCTGAGCGACTCGCCGACTCGATATCAGTGACTCGATATCGGTCGGCCCAGTCCGAGGGACTGAGGAACCACACACGTAAAATAGCCACCTCGTGCAAAAGTGCACCATGCAAGTCCGTGGTCGGTGATGTAGGACATCTACAGCTCACAGAAGGAAACAGCCGCAGAGGTGTGTAGCAGTAGACGCATCCTGGCCCGTCCTGACACTGACATGAAAACACGCGGTGCTCCAAGACATCGATGTCTGCGTCGTGGCTAACGCAACCGTCTTCATCCGTGTGTCCGGAATTTCCGCGAATGGATCGATAGATCGATGACTCAACAGCCAGCAGAGCAATAGATTAACTCAGAGGATCTGTGGATAGACGAGGGAGAGCGTTCGGCTCAGGACATCCGCCGATGTAAGATCAGGACATACGATGTAAGATCAGGACATCCGCCGATGTGGTCAGAAGTCCGAGGCGGCGGTCACACAATTTTCGGGTTTGGAAATCGATCGGGAGCAACAAATTAGATCCGCAGACCGCACTTACGGCTGGTGTGGACCTAACTCATGGTATGGGGGGGGGGGGGGGTTCAGCTGAAGTGGGAGCTGCTCATGTAGTTGCCGGAGATGAAGTCGGGGCTTTCGTTTTCACTCCATGTTGAAGGCTGAGCGAAGTGAAGCGCGTTACCAGCCTTTCGGATAAGGCTGGCATGGCATGTCATGTAGCCAAGCCCGCGGTCTCCTGTGATGGAAGAGCCAGAGCTAGTATGTTATTTCCCGTAGCTTTGTTTCCCTTTGTTTCTGGCAGGGTCCAAACGCGCGTTTTTGGCTGCGCTGGTAGACACCGGGCGAAAACATTTCCATTCCGATAAAACCACCACTCGGGTTGCAAACCCTTCTGAACATCTTTGCCACCTTCTGGTTGCAGCTGTTCGGTTTCGAGCTTGGCTGCACGTGAAGTGACTCGCCGGACGGCTCCGGATTGACGGACTTTGACGCTGCTGCGGAGGATGGAGAACCGTGCTATTGCTGCGTGAAACGCCGTTCGCCTTATCAAGGCACGCGCATGCCTCGGACGTATGTACTGCGTTTACCCGCCTTTTGCTTGGGTGGGAAAACGTAGCCAGTTAAGAGCAATGTTTCAAGTTTGTAGCCAGTCTCGCGCTCGGCTCCAGGCTGACTTCGCGGACTGATTTTCGAGGACGGACTGATGGACTGACGAGACTGATTTCGAGATTTCTTCGCCCCAGTTTGTAGACAATCCTTCATTAAACAATGCGTGAACATCGTGTGGCAAGACTGTCGTAGATGGATGTACATGCCATTCACGCCAGAAAGTCCGTCGCCTACGAAACTGGGGACCCTCATCGCGCTGCCCGGCTAGCTTGCGGTGGGTAAGCGGGATGCGGGAGGGGAGGGGGCGGGCCACGGAACCATTACATCATCGACCGCAAGTCCGATTTAACTGGACCATGTTTGTCTCAGGAAGACGTAGAAATGGATGCACCCGATGGGTTCAACAATATCTACAACTTAGATATGGTCGCTTCTCTTCGTCCTGTGTCCCTTCTACTGTTCCGTTCCTCTGTAGCAATATTCGCTGTGATGTCCGTGTGGTCCCTTTACTCCCGTCGTCCTTATCCATCCGCTGAGAGGCTCACGAACCCCAAAATATGTGAATGGACCAAACCCCTTTTTCACGGGCTTTCCCTCCATGAAAACGTAAGATGCGTGTTTTTCCATGAATGTGGATGGGCCACGTGATTCATTCGAGCGCTAGTAAGCTAGAGAGAAAAAAACCTCCACGCATCCCTCCTTAAAAACCGGGCGCACCCTCATTTTCTG